GAAAATGAAAATTAATGAATACACTGTGTACAGTAATTTACCTGATAAGACAGACCTCAGAAAAATACTTTATGAGAGCTTTTATACTTTTATAAAGCTGTCTATAATGAAAATTAATTAACTAAGGATTTTTTTTGCCCTGCCAGGATGTGGTCGAGTTATCCGGAGTGCCGGGTTATCGAGTGCCGAGTTTTCGAGGCTCTACTGTATATATTTATATATATTTGTATAGTTCAATATATAATATTAAAAAATAAATATATAATGCTAACAATTTCAGTATTACAAAATATTTTTTCAGGACAAATGACCTGTTTTTCCTCTCCAGAATTCTCCATTTTGGCAGATTTTATGTTTTATAGAGGATTGTGTTTTTATTAACTCTTATAGAGAATTGGAAAGAAACAGCACTATTGTATTGTCATAGCTATTTCCCAGAAATAATAATAGTATCTTAACAAAGAAAATGATAGACTGAATTCTTGATGATGAGAATTATAATCATGATCCAAGCCTGAAAAGTACATCATTAATTATGATTTAGAATTTTGCTGGAGTTATGCCATAAAATTCCACTTTACTCAGATTATGTTATTCAATTGGCTTCCAAAAAGCTTGTTTTCATGTTAGATATTTTTCTGACTTATTATAGTATTTCACCAAACAAATAATTCTGTTCTGAGATTTGTTTTCTATTTAGGCAGGTTTCTGTTTTGTACAGTGTCTGCTTTAGATATGTTTTATTGTATAATATTAGGATTTAATTTAATTTTACTTAACCGAAAACTAAGTTAATGAATTACACTAATTAAAAGATTATTATTCCATCCACAATTATTATTGACAGTATCTGTTTGGATCCATTATTTTTGAATCTGATATATGAAACCATGCTGTATATAATTTGTCATGATTTATTACATCTCTTATATAAAGCTATATGAATAGAAGAATTAAATTTAATAAAAAGCTTTAATAGTAAATTTTAAATAATAATAAATATACTTACTCATATAGCTTGGTTCAACAACATAAATTGAAAGAGCCGAATATAATCTTTTACTCTCTTTGACATCTTAAAAAAAATCAAAGTCAAAATCATATTTATTACTACAATTACTAATATTACAAAAATAATTCAATAAATTTAAGAAATGAAAAGTAAATTACTTTTTCTTGCAAAACGAACTACAGATTTTCCATTAAGTTTTGCTGTGACATCAAATTTATTTGTAACTTCTATTACACTTGAATTTCTCACTTTTAAAACATAATCATCTGGCAAAGCTGTTACATCTAAATAGAAAAATATAATGCATTTTATTTATTTTAATTTATAAATACAATGAATTCCCATACAACATGGAGGATACATTTTGCATTATAGGAAGCAGAGTTATATGAACCACACGCTATGTATGAATTGTGAGATTTGATACCAAACTCACAGTTCATACATAACACATGGTTTGCATAATGTAGAACATATCCCATGTGTTATACATGCTTTACTGTAATGTATAATTTAAAAATATATTTTTAAATTATACATTACAGTAAAGCATATATCTTATAGCTTAAAATAACAACAAAAAAATAAATTTATATAATTTCTAAATTCTAATTTTGTAAAAAATCCAATTTTTTTTTCTTTTCATTTAAATATAGTATAATATCCTTTTTAGTAATAAAGTTAATACAATATATTACATTACTATAACTGTAATAATATGTTAATAGGATTGTAATAAATATTCTGAGATATTAAAAGTCAAAACCCAATTTTAAATAATACATAAAATGATTCTGTAAATAATACAATTATTTTCATATTTAAAAAATTTTAATTAAAAAAGACATTAGTTTTTAACCAATAAACTATATATATTGTATATGTGAGGCATTCAAAAAGTTCCCAGAAAGTGAACAGAATGCTATATTTATAATTAATTGAAGCGAGCATAAACTTGTCTAAACTTGTTTTATTGGGTATTCATATCTCGTCCCATCAGACTTTTTATTCCCAAATTTTAAAAACAAAACATTAAAGGCATTCACTGGTAGTTGATAGATCAAGTTAAATATTTTGTAGTGCAGTAACTAGAATAAAAGAGCACTGATTTCTACTGGAAGAAATTAGAAGGGTGGTGTCACCGTATGGAAAAGTGTTTTAACTTAAATGGAATTTATGTTAAAAAATAAAATATTGGTATTTTGTTAGATGTTTTTAATAAAAATAAATGACTATATCTTCATTGTATATTGTAATCATGTTCTCAAAAGTATCAATATTAATAATAATTAATATCAAAATAAATACACAAAAATCTGCACATTATTATTTTAATAAAAAATAAATATAAGTATTTATATATTTAATGAATACTACTTTTATTGTATCTATATAATACTGTTCATATACTTTACACTGCAATAAATTAATTTATATTATTTATTTAAAAACGTAATTATTATATTAAAGTTAGATATCATGCAAATCTGATTCCAAAGATTAAGATTGTCTAATTTTTATATTAGGCTTGTTTTATAGTTAAATTTGAAAGTAAAAAGTGTTATAGTTTTATATAGTTTTAAGAATGAAATTCATAATACAATATTAATTAAAAAACATTTCAAAAATATATTTACCAAAATGTTTTCCTTCTCTTACAATTTCAGCCACAAGTTTACATTTACTTCCAGGGAGAAGATATAAAATTTCCTTTTTGAATCTAATATTACTTTTTATTACAATTTCTCTTTCTTCAGTTTTTATATCCTGTAATTAATTAAATTACAATATTATATTTAAATAAAAAGACTTTAATATTACAATCTTTATTAACATATAAACATAAAAGGATTGTTTTTATACGTTAATAATAATGTCCAACAGATTGTTTTTTATATTGTAATTATATGTTTGACAGTTGTCATTTTTCTATTTTAAGAGTTCCATTTTGTTAAGACGCATTGTGGGGTCTGATGTTGTCCCCCAATGATACATAAGATATATGTAGGAAAGCAGCCAATGCTAATAATATCACCTTGGTATATCGACGCAACCCAACAATCTTCAAAATCCTAAGGAATGATAAAAAAAAGCCACATAACTGCAATTCTGCCTCGGGGATCTACTCCATCCTGATAGATGATCAACGTTTTGAATCAAAACTGGTCAATGTGGGTGTCACTGGACATAATTTGCAACACAACTCAGGGAACATAAGTATGCAATTGAAAAATCACAACAACATAACACTGACAGGTTATGCACAGAATCAGAACCTACAAGTAAACTGGGAGCAAGCAAAAATCATCAGACCCACATCCAATATATTATACATATTATAGGTTATCTAGAAAAATTAGAAATTTATAAGGCTTACAAAAATTCCAAATACATCAAACTTAGAGATACTGTCAATCTGTCTAATGCATGATGGTCCATTAACAAAATTTAATTATTTAGTTGTTTGATTAACGAATATTTATTCATAGATTTTTATTTTTATTTTATTATTTTTACATGTACTTGTTGTTATTTACTTACTGTATTTATTTATTTATTTGTGTATTTTATTATTTTTAATGTAACATCCTTAAATTCAAATGCTTGTTTTTTTGAATTTATACTTATGAATTAATATTATATATTATGAAATAATAATAGAAGAATAAAAGAACATTTATGTTCTTTTATTCTTCTATTTCATTATGTTCTGTAACGGAGGAAGATCTAAGAATCTGATAGGAATTATGGAAATTTAAGTACATTAAAACAAACCAAAACACTTAGTCATTGTATCATTGTATCAGGTAATTTTTTTTTTTTTTGTAATTGCCAAATTTGTTTTATTCTGTTTTAAAATTTACTTACACTGTATCTCTTCATTATTTTACTTCTAATCTTAAAAAACATAAATCATTGATTTTAGTTAATCTGTATAGATAAGTCTCCCCAATTTTCAAATGTACAGTTATAACACAATTAAACAAACACAGTTCAGAAAAGCTGTTCCAGAATTTTTGTTCCAATCTGCAATAGTGGGAAGACATGTAAAACACCAAAACCAGTTGTAAAAATCCAATATATTTATGAGTTTTTGTAAATATATTGGACTTTTGCAACTGGTTTTGGTGTTTTATGTGTGTTTCTAGCTAAATATTACCAATTTAATGAAGTTATTGTCATAATGGTGAAATCTGATAATGGAAGATAGTATTCTGAAAATATTTAATTATGAAATAAAAACAAATCAGTTGGATTCCTTTAGGGAAAAATCTTCTACCTTGAATAAAGCATTGACTGATTGGCAACTGTATAATTTTGTAATATTGTATAAGTAATTTCAATATGAATTTTACAAGTATAAAAACTGTGATAAACAAGAGAATTTGAAAAAAATAGATATAATAATGATATTTGTTTATAATAAATCATTTTAAGCACAATATATTTTTATCATCACTGTTTTAAAGTAAGAATTAATTATATAACTTATTCATGGACCAAAACAGCAAGTAGAGAAATTTAAAATTACTTAAAAATAATAATTTAAATAACTTAAGAATATTGTTAATGTCAAATAATTAATTCAAAAAAAAAAATTGAATATAATCACAGTTAATTCTGTTTAATTTGAATAGTTGACTAGTTAAGTTTAATGAATTTTTCATAAATAATTTAAATTATATAGTTACAAAAGTAAAATTCTATTATCTTATATTAAATATAGCACAGTTTTTAAGATAAAAAACTATATTTAAAAATTATAGCATATAGAAATACATACAGCATAAATTGGATTTTTTGGTCGAACAAAAATCTTTCCTATTCCTATTTCTCTTCCCCGAGTTAAAACTAATGATCCTCTAGAATTTAATTTCTCCCAGTAAAATGATGATAATCCATAGTTATATGAAGAATCAACAAAATTTAAAAATCTGTTGAATAAAAATCATTATTTAAATATAAGTTGTTTTGTTTTTAAAAATATTTTGCATTTGTTTATGCTTGAATTCAATATTCAATAAATATTAAATTATTTTGCCATATGGATATCAATTTAAAATGAAATTCAATAATAGATGAATAAAAAATTTGAAAAAAAAAAAAATATATATATATAATATATCAATGTGGAACTTTAAAGAAAATTCTTTAAAATAAACTACAGTAATAAATTTCTAATAAAAGTAAATATTTAATATTATATCAATATTAATTTAATATTTTTGGCAATAAAGATTTTAAGAGTATCTGATCTTGATTAAAATCAAATTATAATAATATAAACTTCAATATTTTTACCATATAGTTGAATTTATAAAAAATATATTTCATGAAAAGAATTATTATTATTTAGAGATGAATATTCATCTCCAAACTATTAACTCTTATTTATATGCTTATTTTTTAGATCACAAAAGAAAAATAATAAACAGATTAGCTATATTTCTAGCCATTACATTTGTATTTTATTCAAATAAGTAAATTTAAAAAATAAATTTTTTATTAATCATTTAAATTTAAAAACAAGTTATGAGATTCTCATTTATAATAAATTTAATTTGACTATTAATAGACTTAATTCTAAAAATCCTAAAAATATTAAGTAATCCGATAAATCAATATATACTATATCTAACAAAAAGTTGCAGTCACCCATCATTTTTTAAATTGACATAAGAAAATAAGATAAATAAAACATGTGTTAGTTCTTGCAAAGAATTTTTATACAAATTATCATATTAATAAATTTATGGAGTAACTTCATAGAAAATTTAATTGGCTGAACATACTACATTGGAATTAAAAGCATGAATGACCAAAACTTTGTCAAGTACTGTACATATACTACATATTGATAAACATGGCTATGTACTGTACATATTTATAGCTCTTGTATTTTTTCAGTTTTAAAAAGTTTGAGAGAACTTTGATAAAGTTACTAAATTTATTGATTAAATCAGAAATTCTTGTGGTTAGGTTCTGATAAAAATCACAACCCACCCACAAGAAGAACTATATTGAAATTAACCTGAGAATATGTTACTTTCAGGAAGATATTCATATTTCAAATTAAATAAGAATTTTAAAGCAGACACTGAAATTTAATTGTCATAGAAATTATTTGATGTAAATTAATCGAAATATGCAGAGTCAAAATTATTAATAATGAGCAATTATTTATTGTGACATCATCACAATGCCAGGCTGCAATTTTTAATCATATTTTTTATAATTTTTAATTTAAAACATATGCACTCCTCCTCAAATTAGTAGTCTTGCCTTTGTACATCAAACTTTTCCTGTTAGCAATAGTATTGTGCTGGTCATCTAACTCCTTTCAGGAGAAAATTTTTAAATTGAAATAATGTGACTTCTGGTTTGTACTACAAGTCTGTATATAATTAATCAGGGCGTCCTGTCCCTAATCTTTTCATATCTGGTCTCAGCTTTCTAACTTCGTTGTCTATATTATGGAAAGACGGACAGATGACAGTGGGAATTTATAGGTCTGCAATTTTAAAAAAATTCCAAACCTATAAATTCCCACTATTCCTATTTTATTTCCTATTTATTAAAATTTCAGCCCAATAATAAAATTTAACTATTTAATACCAATAATAAAATTGGTATAATTATTAAACAAATATATTATTTTCAATTACGTTAATTTACTATAAATGAATATTGTATTTTAATCTTATCCAATAAAATTTCTTATTTCATTGCATTACATTTAATTTACAATCTGTAATATAAATATTTATATCTAATAACTTAACTGTAAACTGGAGTTATTTGGTCCTGAGAATGTCCATTCAAATTCAATTCCAGATAAACTAGAAAATGTATCACCTAAAAAAATAAGATAATTAGAATTGTTTATTACAGCTAAAATAATTTCTTTGAGCAAAACCTGTTAAGATTTTTTATAATAAAGAACCATACACAGTGCTTCTACAATAAGAATCCTGTTTATTGAACAAACACAGGTAGAAAGAGACAGACACAAATACGAGGATAGGGTCCCCAACCATGTTAACAATTCTTAACAAAATCATTCTAATAAATATAATAATACAGTGGAACCCCGGTTAACAAACTTAATCTGTTCCGCAACTCTGTTCGTTAACTGAATTGTTCGTTAACCGAAGCAATTTTTCCCACAGAAATTAATGAAAATGCAATTAATCCATTTTAGTTTCCGAAATTTTTGTGATTTTATTTGTAATATACAGTAGATTTTCTTTCATGAAAATGTAGGAAAACGTAGTATCTATCATTCTAGAAACAAACATGTAAACTTTGTTTAATAAAATAGTACTGTACTGTACATATCGTTTGTTGTAGTTGGTGGCAGAAAAGTGGAGATATACGAACCTTAATGCTTAGAAGGGAAATCCCTCCAAACAATAATAGGTAGCACTTCATCAGAAGATTCTTCGAGTCGAAGTCTCTTTCGATAAGAAAGCCCACCAGTGGCTAAACGGTCTTCATACCCTAAACATGGGTAGTTCATTCGTGGGTTCGCACCTCGCTCAGACGGGCTGTCCACATGGCGTTTTCCGGGTTTTCTCCACATCTGTAAAGCCTAAATAGGGGCCAGTTTCCCTTAAAAACACCTCCCAGAAAAGGCATTTCCCCTAGGCAGATTGCCCAAGTGTTGCATTGCCATAACTTAACAAACAAACAAACTCTTTCGGTAAGGAACAAGAAATTGATCTAAAGTCGATTGTCTTACTCTTTTAATAAAAAATGTTCTCAAATGCGATAGCGTGTTGTCATTTTCTATTGCCACTATGACTTTTTTCTTTCTTGGATGCCATATTGATTAAATATATAAATCACAAAACTGAAAAAAGAAGTATAGCACAAACACTCGGAAAAGCAATGCTTAACTCATGCATGCATAAACACCAACTAAAATTTGACACAAAATACCGGTATGTTCGTTATCCGAGACAAAATTTTCGCAAAATAAAAGTTCATTAACTGATTTGGTCATTAACCAGGACGTTTGTTAACCGGGGTTCCACTGTATTTGCTAGAATGCAATTTAAAGTAAAGAGTAATTGAAAAGTTATACAGCTAAAATTTTCAATAGAATGTTTTGAAGTATATATGTTATGGTGAAAACACCTCTTGTCAAAGTTGACATCTCTAATATTTTATTTGCAATAGCAAAAAAATGCATTTTCCCATGCACACATATACTTGGTCAAATGTAAGATAGCTGAAGAATTTCCCAAGAAACATCTTAATATCAGTGATTACATAAGCACTGATAGGTCACTTTCAGAAACTAGGACTGATGACAATTAAAAGCAACAAGCCTCTATCTGTTTTGAATAGCAATGAAATGGATGAAGTTTAAAATGTTGCTTTACCTTCCAAAAAGAAAGCTTATGGTGCAATCAAGATTGTCAAATGAAAGCATATATAAGGCAGTAAAAAGTTAGACCTCTATCCATATCATCATGTTCATGAGGTTCGAGAGATAAAATAGCCTGATCAAAAAATCACATATAATAAAAGTGTAAAACTGAAATATTGTAGCTTCACTGATGAAAAATAGAATGGAAGCTTGAATCAGTTTCCTTTACTATTCACATATGTAAATATGTAAACAGCCAAAAGAAGAATTTGGTTCTCAGAAAAAATCTATTGTATAAAAACCCTTACATTTTGAAAATTTAAGGGATTTTATGCATATTTTTATGCATATGTGACAATTTGATGAAACCATATTCCAGAATCAAAATACAGGAGTATGGTATAGAATATGGTACTGGAATATTGGATTATATATAAAATATGGTGTCATCTAACTGTCACATAGTCCACCCTAGTTTTTGAGAGTATCATAAATAGGAAGAGTGTACATCAAGATATCACCAAACAATTTTTTTATTTACTTCAGATTGAGAAATATTATTGATTTCAATAAGACAGAACAATGTGCCACATAAGTGCTGACACAACGTCATTTATTCAAAAGTTCTCCAGTGATAAGTTCACTTCTGATGGATTATGGTCTCCAAGATCACTTAATTTGTCATATCTAGTTTTCTCTGAGGATATTATAAAGGAGTGGTCTACAGAAATTACTCATATACTCTAAATGAGTTAAACACAAATATTATTACTAAGATTAAAAAGATTACTGGTCTAATACTATACAAAATGGCTGAAAATATGGGAAAAAATATATACAGTGGAACCTCGGTATACGTCTGCTTTAGAATACATCCAATTCGGAATACGTCCTGTTTGGACGAAACAAATTTTGCTCGGTATACGACTTTTATTCGGTATACGACTTAATTCAATTATACTTGCCATCTATAAACAATTAGCATTATCGGTGTACTACACTAGACTAGATGTTTGCGGTGCTAAGGTTTATAACTTTGTTAAATTTCTTCTGATTTTAATTTGTAAGTAACATTTTATTATTTTTATTAATCATGAATTGCAAAAGGGCAACAGAAAAATAAAAAAATGACTAGAATCACAACGGAACTGAAAAAAGAGATTGTTGAGAAATATGAAGGTGGCACGC